CACATCTAAAAACCACAAATTGAGACGAAAAAATTAGAAAATCAAATCCTTTCCCTTTAAAGTATTATATAAACCTAACCGATTCTCCAATATATCACATAACACTAGTTCTCCCATGTCAGCTGACTCAGGATGCCATTTTAGTAAAATACACCCCAATGAACCTGATGATATTCTAGTATCCAGAAAAAAATAACGACATGAAAAGATCCCCAGGAAATATTAAGTGAACAAAGCAAGAGATGAACAAGTTCCTGCACACCCATGTTCACAGCAGCATTATTCACAGTAGCCAAGAGGTGGAGGCAACCCAGTCCCCCAAGGGATGATGGATAAACCAAACGCAGTGTGCATGTATACATAATGGAATAGTATTCAGTCTTAAAAAGGAAGGAAATCCTGACACCAGCCTTCACATGGATGAACTTGGAGGGCATTATGCTAAGTAAAATAAGCCAGTCACAAAGGGACAAATATGGTGTGATTCCACATACCCAGAGGCATCAAATTCACAGAAACAGAAAGTAGAATGATAGTCACCAAGGGCTGAAACACTAATAAAACTGTTTTGGAAAGAAATACCACTAGGTAAGGTGGGCGTGTTAACTGTATTTTTCTGCTATGCCAGAGATCTCATCCCGAGTTGGAACAGTGTGACATAACAATCTGATATCACAGGTGGCCTACAATTTATAAGTGTTCATGGCCCCATTTGCAGTAGTAGTGGAATTCTCCAATTTGCAATTTTAAGTTTAAAAAATATCTGCTGTGTATGCTGACAACATAATGTTGGTTTTTGTCTTTAGGTGAACCATTTCTCCAATTCTAAATGATTGCAGCTTCGCACTTTGTCTCTGCTGTCCTCCGTAACGCCCGGTTTTACACTGTAAACCAGCCCAAATCCTTCCGGGGTTAGCAGAAGAAAACAATGAATCACTATTGTTTGCATGCTACTGTCACACTGCAGTACCCTGTGTTCCCACTGTCATTAACTGTTATAACCCTCACTTCCAATTTGCTCCGCCTGCAGTCTCTCTCTATTCTCTATGCTCTAGCAGCTTCCAGTCATAAAGATTATTTTAAGCAGCTATCATTTACTGGGTGCCTTGTTTGGCACCCTGTCTTTTCTACTACTGGTCTTTTTTCACACTTCCGTTTTCCAACCGGAAGTACCTGTGGTCTTCTTTGCCTTCTTAAAAAAAAAAAGAAGAACCAACTTCCCCTAGCCTGCTATATTCTCTTTCCTTTTTGTCCTAGAAAACCTAAAGCTGGGTTTTTTGGGGGTTTTTTCTGGCTCTTTTCTAATTACTTCTCTCTACCACTGCAGCCCCACCCCCACTCCTACCCCCAGCAGCAAAATGGAAGCTGCAGACACTCAGGAATGAGACAGCATGTTAACGACCACAGCAAACGCAATCCAGTATAGAGGTCAGTCCTCCCAGAACTCTGCTAGTCAAACTGTTAACTGGACCCGGGAAATTTCAGGTTCCTCCTAAGCCTTTTCTAAGGAGCTCTATCTATCTGTTTTGCCCTAGAGAAGAATTATTTGCTGTCATCTAGACCTGAGCAGCTTTCAATCTAAGTCCCATTTAATTATACAGTATGTTGCAAGCACACTGTTACTAGTACTAGTTAGAGCANCCCTTCCCCCAATTCCCCAGCACTGTTCCCATCCCCCCAATTACCCAATAAAAATCTTAAAAAAAAAAAGAAACAACAATGCAAATGCAAGCACGTTATTTAGAAATATACAGATAAGCAGAATATAGTACCTCAAGGGAAAACCCCCGAACATAGGATGTAAAAGGACTTAATTAAGAAAAGTACGATACTTTGGCGAGAGACTTTTTTAAAGATTTAAATAAATAGATATAAACCATGGTCATGGTCATGTGTGGGAAGACTCGGTATTACACATCTCCGGTGTCTCCAAGTCCAACCATAAATTCAGGACAACTCCAACCAAGAGCAGAGTTTTTGATGAAATGTGTTAAGCTGACAGTAATATTTATATCAACTAAAACAGGCTCAAGAATAGGCAAAATAACTTTTAAAACAACAAAAAAAGGGTAAGGAAACACTACACCAAAACAAAAACAAAAAAAAACAATCAAAGCTTGTTGTAAAATACTAATAAATAAGATCACCATCTTACTGCAACTCAGGGAGAAATAGACCAATGGGACAGACTAGAGCGCCCCAAAAACAGACTCACACAAGAAAGAAACACAACAGAAGTGGCATTAGAAGTCAGTAGGGAAAGGATAATATATTTTAAAATGGTGCTGTGGCAATTAGTTAATCATTTGAAAAAAAATCAAGTTCAATTCCTGTCTCAAACCATAGGTGGTAAGAGGTCATTTGGGGTGGATGAAAGGCCTAAATACATAAAGCAAAGCTTTATAAGTGTATTTGGGAATATTTGGGGAAACAATTTTCCCATCTTCTGGTAGAAAAATATCTTTGTAAAGAAGACATAAAAAAGGCCCAAACCATAAGTTGTATTTTGGACATCAAAATACAAAACTTGCAACCCATGAAAAATAACCCACGTGAAAAGCAAGCCACAAGCCAAGAGAAGAGAACTGCTCTATAAATAACCATATAACATCAATCAAACTGACAAAGAGGTTTGACAGTACCGAGCAATGAAAAAAAAATCCAGAAAAATAGAATTCTCATACCTTTCTGGTGGGAAACGGATGCACCCATTTCTAAGAGCAACTTGCTATAACAACATTGAATTAAAACGACAACACTCATTTTCTATGTCCCAGCCACTGCACTCACAGGTATGTATAATCTTGTGAGACTATTATTTCCCCAAAATGGCCACAGCAATACCCCTGTTCACACAAGGTCTTTCAGAACCTTGCTATGCCCCATCAAGAGGTAGCATCTATTTCCTCTTTCTTTGAAGGACTTTGGGACTGTTTAACAAACAGTGGTGACACTGTATGATTTCCAAGGCTAGGTCATACATAACAGGGCACGTGGCTAAGGCTGCTCCTTCAGGACTCTTGTCCTTGGCACTCAGCCATCATGCTGCCAGGAAGCCCAAACTAGCCACATGGAGAGTAAAGAAGCCGGAAAGAAGCAAACTGCAGCCTCAGGGGGCAGCATGGTCTACAGCCAGCCCCCAGCCACTGACTTGCCAGCGGAGGGCCTAGATGTCACACAGCAGAGGCAAGCTGTCCCTGCCGTGCCCCGTCTGAGTCCCCAGACCACCAAGTTCGTGAGCGGAACATGCCCAGTTTGGGGGTCATTGTTTTGCAGCCCCGGTCTCTGGAACGCTACCCTAGAGGCACTGGCATCCATTGGCATGAGACCAGTACAGGGATGTTCGTGGCAGTGGTGCTGAGAACACAACAAAGAAAAAAGAACATCAGGTAAAGATGAAGGAAATCTGAATAAAGTATGGGGTTTATTTCATAATAATGGATCAGTATTGGTTCATTAATTGTGATAATGTAAGATATTAATAACAGGGTATGTGGGAACACTCTATCTTCTTAATTTTTCTGTAAATCTAAAATGTTCTAAACACTAAGGTTTTTTGGGGTTTTTTTAAGTGAGACTGGAAACGAAAAGTTTTCACATATGGAAGGTCCCAAAATTTGTCTCCACGCATTCTTTTTTTCAGGAGATGTGTGCTAGAAAACAGAGTTAAGCCAAGAAAAAAGACACAGGATCTACACAAGACGACAAATCCAACGAAGGAAAGAAGCAAAGCCCATTCCCAGGATGAGGCTGAAGGCAAGTTCAAGAACATCTGTGGATCAAACCTTGGGAGCAACCAGTTCAGACTGAAAGAAGGGTATTTGGGAGAGCAAGTGCTATATGCACATGGAAAACTAAGCATATAAAAAAACAAGGCAATTATTATTTGTAGGAAAAATGAAACTTGTAAGAGAAAGGAAATGTAATCACTACCCACCACAGCTTAGCTCTAAATAATATTTACATAGACATAAGACATACATAGACTGAATACCAAGCTAACTTAAGTGACAATATATCATATTTCAAATCTAAGACACCACTGACTGGAAATCATTCCACTGTTTTATTTACTACTGAAAGAGAAAAAAATGCTGTTGCCAATTAAAATATGACACTATGGTATAAAGATGCATTCCAATTTCAGAGCTGTTAAATGTAAAAGAATAAGCTTCTTAAAATCCATTTCATATATTAACCACATTGGAAGGAGAGGGAGAAGGATCTATGTTGAGAATAATGGTGTAAGAAAGCTAAATGGTGACCTTGCACAGAAGGAAGTCTGAAATGAATTGACAGGAAAAGAAAGAGCCATAAAAGTTTTTTAGTTAAAAACAAGAAGACAAATGCTAGAAGAAATACCTAAAAGAGCTGAAAGTAACAGCCTCTAGGGTAGGGAACTCTAAAGTAAGAAGAGGTGGAAACACTTGTTTTTCATTTGAGATTTGAGTATTTAAATCATTTACGCATATTGCCTTCGTGAAAATAAATTTTTAAAAAAACCAAAGCAACAAGAATCAAACCTAAAGCTATGAGGAAGAAACTTTCAACAGCCAAGATACTTTTAGATTTCTGATGTACCAAAGCAAAGGATAGTAAGAAAAATTTAGGGGAAAAATACACAATCTGCAACGTACTCCAGTCTCAATGTTACACAAATCCAAATTTTAAGTGAAATTGAAGTGAAAAAGTTCAATGAAACCCGTTCTAAATCTGGTTCATTTTACTCTGCCAGACACAAAGATGTTGATTTAAGATAACTCCAAAGTTGACCTGCTAGTGACAGAAAGGCGTGGGAGTGACACCAGAGTTTGACAGCCTCTGACTTCCTGCTTCAAGATAAGACCCAACTGACTCCATCGGAACAGTACACTTGCAGCTACAGCAGTTATGTAATACAAAAATACACGTGGAAAAAGTCCTAAGAGCTTGTAAAAGCACAATATCTAAAATTACTTTCAGCCAACCATGTTATTAAGTCACCGATGTTTGTCACTTACATCTTGAAACATTTTGTTTTCTTGTTTCAGTCTAGCCTCTTTATCATCTGAGAGTTTGTAAGCATTCTCAAATGCTTCTTCTAAATCCTGCAGTCTAGATTTTAGTCGAATGATGGTATTGTCTTTTTCTTTATTACTTGTTCGCATTTCCTCGATTCTTTCCTGCAAAATTTTGGAGGCACTGCTGGCTGCACTGAGCCGTTCTCTGAAATCACTCTATAAAACAAAGACAAGGATAATAAAGTGTTTTTATTAAGAAAAATAGATGTTTCGATAGTAGCTAATAAATTGTGGGTGTTAAAAGTAATAAAACAAAACGTACAAATGGAAATCAACAAGTTTAACAAATATTTTGTTATAACCCGGAATGGGGACTAGAAAGAATCACTCTACTAGAGTAATTAGCTCCGTGAAATTATCCTAATGTGTAGACTGAAAAGCACTGTCTGAGGTATTATGATTCTAAGACTCACCTGTGCATCACTTTAATGAGCAAAAATAACCATGGCAATTAGGGAAATGATTCTAAAAGGATAGCTGGAATTTGTTGCCCCACATTGATATTATAGACAAAAAAGCATTTCTTACCCTATTCTCTCACTAAGAAAATAAAAAATTCAGGGC